TGCCATGGGGGAGAATATCCCTTTGGCTGGTTCAGCTCACCTGTCCTGGCTATGCTCCCTCCCAGTTTCTTGTGTATCTTCTCACTGGCAGAGCATAAGACACAAGCAAGGAAATGTCCTTGGTTTAGGATAAACACAATTTAGCAAAACCAAAACATCAGTGTATTATCACTCTAAATCTCAACACTGCACTACACTAGCTACTGAGAAAATTAACTCCATCCTGGCTAAAACCAGGACAGTATTCTAACCTGCCAGAAGAAAGTGAAGGATCATATTTTTAGCAGCACCTAGATATACTGCTGTATCTCCAGAAGCAAAATCACAAACCACAAAATAATGTTTTCTGAGGGGAGGAGTGTCACAGAATCTGGCAAAGCTTTGGCACATGCAGCTGCTGCTGAAGTCAGGGCTCTGCCACTCTTGTGCAAGGGGTAACAACCACAGCAAAGGTCGTTTCCTGGGGAGTGTTACTGTCAGCCTTGACTTCTCCATCGCTTCTGTTTAACCAGCAAGTCACTGTCAGCATCTGGGCACACGTCTTTTGTTTGTTTTTCAACAAGGTGCTCAGGTCCTCAGGCTAAGTGGTCACCTGGCATCGTCAAGGTGAATGAGTTCCCACATCAGTATTTATAATAGGTCACCCAGTTATCTCATGTGTGCAGCAGAATTAGATGGTCCAGAGCTCTGTGTAGAAATGGACTGGAATTGCACACTAAAAATACATGCAGTCATTTTCTAAGATGCTAAACACATGTATTCAGCATTAATCTAACCTTCTTTACCTCATTAAATGTGTGCTGAGAAAGGGGACCGGATTACCACGTGGGTTTCACCAGAATTCATTAGTCTGTATGGTTTTAAACAGAACACAACTTGAAAACAAATAAGCAAATTCAGTGTGATGTTAGAAGGTCTCAAAACACTTGGCCATGCTTAAGCCACAGTCTAAAAGCACTTCACAAAGTAAGCAACAGAGCCACGGTGGACGCAGCAGAGAGCTGAACTCTGCTGGTTCCGGTGCGGCTCTCCTCAGACGGTCCCGGGGCAGCAGCTGTGCCCAGGGAGCCCCTCGGCCCCTCTCCCACTGCTGCCACTGCCCAGGGGGTGCAGAC